CATCTGGTCCTGGGGATTTTTTCTTAGGGAACTAATCTATGGCTTGTTTAGTTTCTTTTTCTAAATAGGATTATTCAAGTATTCTATTTCCTTTTTTGTTAATCTGGACAATTTATATCTTTATATTTATTAATTTCATTTAGGTTGTCAGGTTTATTGGTACATAATTGGACAAAATAGGTCCTTAGAATTGCTTTAATTTCACCTTCATTGTTGGTCCATTCCTCCTTTTAATTTTTGATATTGGTAATTTGATTTTCCTCTTTCTTTTTTTTTTTAAATTAAATTAACCAATGGTTTATCTATTTTGTTGTTTTTTTTTTCATAAGATCAGCTCTTCATTTTATTAGTTCAGTGGGTTTTTTTTTTAACTTTCAATTTTATTAATCTCTCCTTTGAGTTTCAGGATCACTATTTTGATGTTCAATTAAAGATTTCTGATTTGCTATTTTTCTGGTATATTTAGTTGCATGCCCAATTCACAGATCTACTCTCTCTGTTTTTTATTGATATGAGCATCTAGTGATATATTTCCCTTAAATACTGTTTTGTCTGCATTCCGTAAAGTGTGATGTGTTCTCACTGTTGTCATTATTTTTAATGAAATTATTATTTTATGATCTGTTGTTTGACCCATTCTTTCTTTGAAATTAGATGATTTAGTCTCTATTAATTTCTAATCTATGCTTCTAAGACCCTTTGAATGTAATTTTTATAGCATTGTGGTCCTAAAATGGTCTATTTAATATTTCTTCTTTTCTGTGTTTGCTTATGAGGTGGTTATGCCTTAATACATGGTTAGTTTTTGTGATGATGCCATGTACAACTGAGAAAAAGGTACAATCTTTTCTTTTCCATTCAGTTTTCTCCAAAGGTCTGTTATATCTAACTTTTCTGAAATTCTGCTCATCTCCTTAACTTCTTTCTTATTTATTTTATAGTTATATATATCTAGTTCTGAGAGGTTGAGCTCCCCCATTAGCATATTCTTACTGTTTCCTCCTGTAACTCATTTAACTTTTCCTTTAAAAATCTGTATACTATGTCATTTGGTACATATATGTTTAGTATTGCTATTACTTCATTGTCTTTTAGCAAAATGTAGTTTCCTTGATTATCTCTTTTATTTAGGTCTGTTTTTGCTTTTTCTTTGTGTGAAATCATGATGACTACCCTCTGCCTTTTTTACTTCAGCTGAAGGATAATAGATTCTGCTTCAGCCCCCTATTTTAACTCTTTATGGGTCTTTCTGTTTCAAGTTTGTTTCTTGTAAATAACGTATTGTTGGACTTTGCTTTCCAATTCATTCTGCTATATGCTTCCATTTTATGGGTGAATTTATCCTGTTCACATTCACAGTTATGATTATTGTGTATTTCCCTACATCTTATTTTCTTCTGTTTGTCCTTCTCTTTCTCTTTTTTTTACCCTTTTCCTCTGCAGAATTCTATTTTGCTTCTGACTAATGACTCCTTTAATCCTTCTTCATTCTTATCACTTTCTCTACTTCTCTTGGCCCCTTTTCCTCCCATTTCCCTGTTGGGTAAGGTAGATTGCTATACCTAACTCTGTGTGTGTACATATGTGCATTGTTCCCTCTTAGAACCAATTTAGATGAGAATGAGGTTCAAGCATTGCTTATCTCCTCCATCCTTCCCCTTCTCTCCTTCACTGTAAATCTCTTCCTTGGGCATCTTTTTCATGTGAGATAATTTCCCCTATTCTTCCCCTTCTTTTCTCAGTGCATCTCTTTCTCACTCTTTGATTCTTCTTTTGAAATAATCCCAATATGATGGACTCAAACCTGTGCCATCTGTCTGTGACTCTTTCTAAATGCCTTAATAATGTTAAAGTTCTTAGAAGTTACCTAAATCATTTTCCCATATAGGAATGTAAACAGTTTAACCTTATTGAGTCCATTATGATTTCTCTGGCATGTTTACCTTTATATGTTTCTTTTGTGTTTTGTGTTTGAATAAGAAATTTTATATTCAACTCTGGTCTTTTCATTAGGAATGCTTGAAAGTCTGTATTTCATTAAATATCCATTTTCCCCCTGAAGGATTATACTCATTTTTTGCTGGGTAGGTTATTTTTGGTGGCACTAGGCAGCTAGGTGGCACACTGCATAGAGTGCTAGGCATGGAATTAGGAAGACCTGAGTTCAAATTTGGCCTCAGACACTGTGTGACCCTGGGCAAGTCATTTAAACGTGTTTGCCTCAGTTTTCTCATCTGTAAAATGAGCTGGAGAAGGAATTGGCAAGCCATTCCAGTGTCTCTGCCAACAAAATCCCAAAAAGGGATCACAAAGACTAAACAAAACAAAATCTTGTGATTGTAACTGTGGCTCTACTGTATTTGAATTATTTCTTTCTGACTGCTTGTAGTAATTTCTTGTTGACCTGGGAGTTGTAGAATTTGGCTACAATATTCTTAGGAATGTCATATCATATCATGTTGGGATCTTTTTCAGGAAGTGATTGGTGTGTTCTTGCAGTTTCTATTATTCCCTCTAGTTCTAATATTTTGGAACAGTTTTTCTTTATCATTCCTTGCAATATGATGTCCAGAGTCTTTTTTTTTAAATATTGGGTTTCAGGTAGTCCAGTCTGTCTTAAATTATCTTTCTTCAGTCCAGTTTTTAGGTTGGTTGTTTTACCAATGAGATATTTCACTTTTCCTTCTATTTTTTTCATTCTTTGACATTTCTTTATTGTTTCTTGGTGTCTAATAGAATCATTAGCTTCTACTTGACAGATTCTAATTTTTAAGTAATTATTTTTTGCCCAGATCTCACAGCTATGAGTGTTTGAGGCAGTATTTGAATCATTGTAAGGGAGATGGCACACATGATAATTTTATCTATCATAACTGCTTCTTGCCCACACATCTTTCATTTACTTTTGCTATATTAAAGTACCACATCTTGGGTTTCTACTTCTGCAGTTAATAATAATCAAAAGCTCTTTAACAAATTTGGTTTTTGTTAGCTTGTGGTTGATGCAGTTGATAGCTTGCTTTCACCAGGGTCTTTGTGGAAATTGCTTTATTTTACCACATGCCAAGGCTCAAGAAAGCTCAAGGGATTGCTTACTGAAGCATTGCGGTTAATTCTTGTTCCAATAAAATATACATAGAGCACAGAATGAAGGAAGTGTTTAACTTAATATGATACAATAAAGTGGTTTGTTTTCTGTGTCTGGTTTATACAGATCATATATCCAGGGCCTCAATTTTGGCTTTATCCTGATATCACAGAGGAAGGACATGTAGAAAGTGAGGTTTCAGCTGAGTCTTGAAGGAAGCTAGGGAAAGAAGAAATGGAGGTGTGAGGGGAGAACATTCCAGGCATGGGGGAAGTGAATTCAAAGATAGAGAAATGAGAGATGGAGCATCTTATACTTAGAACAGCAAGTAGGCTAATTATACTGGATAAAGTAAGGGTAGTAAGTATAAGAAGACTAGAAAGATACAAAGGGGCCAGATTATGAACAATGTAAATACCAAATGGAAGATTTTATATTTGATCCAGAAATACAGGAAGCTGCTGAAGTTTGAGGAGGAGAGAAAGGGTACCATGGGCAGAAGTATATTTTAAGCACACCGGCCCTGAAGTCAGCAGGACCTGAGTTCAAATCTGGCCTCAGACCAAACACTTGACATTTACTGGCTGTGTGACCCTGGGCAAATCTCTTAACCCCAATTGCCTATTAAAAAGAAAAAGAAAAAAAGAAGTACACTTTAAGGGGCAGTTAGGTGGCACAGTGGATAGGGCACCGGCCCTGGAGTCAGGAGGACCTGAGTTCAATCTGGCCTCAGACACATAATACTCACTAGCTGCATGACTCTAGACAAGTCACTTAACTCCAATTACCTCACAAAAAAAACAGAACAAAACAACAGTACACTTTAGAAAATCCTCTTGGTAGCTTTGAGTGGAGAATGAATTGGCGTGGGGAGATATTTGAGGCAGCTAAAACAAATTGAAAACACTAAAATTGCAAGGCTAGTTGACTGGAAAGATAATAGTGTATCATTAGCACCTCACACAAGGCATTACTTAAATCCCAGTCACCTAACAAATGATGAATAAAGGAGTCAAGTTCAATTGTATAGGTTTTTTGGAAATAATGACCTTTGGTAGTAAGTTTTTCAAACTGGTAAAAATTTGCCTTACACATATGGCTAGGAAACATTTTATGCTTTACAAAGGACTTTCTTCACAACCCTGAGGGATAAGCGGCACAAATATTTTTATCCCCATTTTACAGATGAAAAAACTGAGACTTAGAAATATAAAGTGACCTGTCCAAGCTGACACAGCTAGTAAGCACTTGAGCCAGGAATCTAACCCAGGTATCCTGACTTCTGATCTAGTGTTCTTTTCACTGTGCCATACTATACTATTCAAAATAAACATGTCCACTAGCCAGGAAGTGAAAGAAAAAATACTACATCTTTCTAGCGTCTTCAACTACTGACTTCCTCAGCCATGGAATTATCACACATTTTTATCATCTTAAGTCAGAGAAAGAGTTTTGAAAGGCAGAATGACATAGTGGTTGGCATATACTGAATATATGTGAACTTGGGTAAGTCACTTAACCTCACAGTGCCCCAGGCAACTCTGAGATTTATCCACTGCAGAGAAGTGCCAGTCTGCTTTGTAAGAGAGAGTTTCCTGATCAGCAGTTCCCTATCCCAGGGAAACCGCAGGTCCAATAATAAAAGAACAGGGTTTATTGAGCTTAATTCCTCAAGTGCACTCTAGACAAATGTGTAACGATGTGAATTTTGACTGTGGATGATTCTACTGTGGGAAAATAGCCAAATGATCAGATTTGGATTTAATTATGGCCTCTTCAGCATTTCCATTGGTATTTGACAAGATTTAAATCTAAAAATTGAATGGAATCACATCCCAAGGTGACCAGATGAGACATAGTGGGCTCTCGACTCACTCATGCTTCTTTTCTATGGTTCCTTCCTCCGAGTTAGGGAGAACAATCCCATCTCATGAAAGAACATGAAGATGTTCAGGAACAGATGACCCTGCGCTACGAGGAGCGAATCACAGAACTCCACAGCATCATTGCTGAGCTAAATAAGAAGATTGACCGCCTCCAAGGAACAACGATCAGGTAAAGCATTCCAGATTGGTTTTCTAATTTCTGAAAAGGAAATGATCTCAGTAAAATATAGGTCGTGTGATTATGCAGGTGAAATAGAGCTCCTTCTTGTGGGAGTCCTGCGTGACTATTAGCTATTTTCCTTTATCATCCTTATTTTGTCTGTGTTTCACATAAAATGTTATGTTCCTCTCTCAGAGTTTAAACAGGCTTATGGGCATTGTAGCTGGGCATCTTTATGTTAAAATCTTTTAATTGTAGAGATGTAAGGAGCTGGCCTCAGAAAGACAAGTTCAAGCCCTACCCCTGACACGTGCTTGTTGTTTGACTCTCATTAAGTCATTTAACGTCTGTCAGTGCTCTAAGACTTTAAGTTACAGAGCAGTTTCTGGTCTGCATTGGCGGATAAAATTTCCTTTATCAATGAAATCATAGATGCAGAGTAGATGTTTCTCTTATCCCTCAAATCTAATATTTGGGACTTATTGATTCAAACTATCTGCTAAATGTCGTGCTCTCAGTCATCAAAATGGAGGATGAAAAAACTTAAGCTTGGTAAGGTTAAGTGACCTTCTTGCAAGCATTGTCATTAGTGACCAGAGGCAGGATTAGACTCCAGAATTTTTTATATCCTTCACTTATTTCTACAAGAGTTATTGATATCTAAAATTTCATCCTCACCCATTATTTTTTGTCTCCTGTCCCAAGTTTATTTGGTGTGCTTTCCATCATCATTCAACAAAGGGGTTTGATTTAAGTAAGTTATTGTGTTAAAGATGAAATTTCTTGTCTTCTTAACATGGCTCATGAAAGAGCCTTAAGGAAAGTAGATAGTTGGTCCCTACCTCTGTATAAGTAGCAAAAGGTCTACATAAGCATTTTCTTGCCTGAAAGTCTGAATTAGGACCATAGAGAAGAAAACCCTTTAAAATAAAATTCTGAAACTGTCCCTTAAAGTTATCTCGAGGGAGAGGAAATTGATGGGTTAGTAATTAATCAGAATAGCAATAATAGTAGAGACAATGTCTATTCTACTCTTAATATTTTCTTTCCAAAAATTGTGTGAAAAGTTGAAGCTAGAGCTAGCCACATAGTAAGTTTTATGTTCTTATTGAGAACATAAGCTTCATGGTTTTTCATCTTGCAAGGTTATAGAATTATAACATTTTGGGCAGTATTGAACTTTTGGTGTAAACAAATAAATTATAGCAAAATTAGGGAAGATTGATGATATATTTTATATGCAAGCATAATCACTTTTCTAGTATCTCTGAATGCGAGGGCAGCAGGGTGGCATTGTGGATGGAGCACCAGCCTTGAGTCAGGAAGATCTGAGTTCAAATGTGGCCTCAAACACTTGACACTTACTAGTATGTGACCTTGGGCAAGTCACTTAACCCCGTTGCCTAGCCAAAAAAAAAAAAAAGAAAGAAAGAAAGAAAGAAAGAAAGAAAGAGAGAAAGAAATTGGATTACACTTGGTGAGCCCATGGAATTTTAATGAATATAAATCATATGATGGTAAAAAAATTAAATGTTAGAAGAAGGAACATATCTAAGTGATAGAAAGACTTTATTTCTATAATACTTTGAATTTGAAGGAATATTAAAATATCTAATTTACTTTTATTTATGGTATCTAAACATGGAAACCAGGATATGAATAACATGAGAATTCCTTTGCTCTGTTCTTTTTGTTCTAAGAAAAAATGAAAAAATTTAAGGCACATAGGCTAATGGGTATTTTCTTTGAATTGCTGTGGCTCAGAGATTATTCCCCCATCCTAAACACTCATGGGCTTAACCATAATATGATGTTCTTCCCAGACTATGAAGTATTATTTTATTCCAGAATACTTGAAAAAATATCCTGTTGACTTTTTATGATTCTAGACATTCATATCAGTTGATATGAGGCAGACATGACATTGAAGATAAAGGACCATAATATGGCCTTGGATAATACTCAAACAGAAACCATCCTTATTATTGTGATTTGTAAGTGCTAGAGTTATTGTTACGTTACAGAGTTTAGGGAAGAATTTTCCAACTCTGGTATTCCTGGCCTTTTCCCAATCAATGAGTGAGCATTTTATTAAATTCTTACTGTGTGCCAGGTCCTGTGCTAAGGACTGGAGATACAAAGGAAGAACAGTCTTTGAGGAGCTTAGGTTCTGAGGAAGGATACAACATATATATATATATATAAATAAATCCATGCAAGATAAATATAGAATAGAGGAAAGGCAACTTTAGAGGGCAAGCTTCTAGCAGCTGGGGGAGGAGGGAGAACATTCCAGGCATAAGGGACACCCAGTGCAGAGAGAAGGGAAAGAGAGTATACTGGTCTATAAAGTAGGTGAAGGGGCAGTCAGGGAGCTGGAAAAAGAATGGAACCAAGTTGGGAAAAGCTTGAAACCCAAATGGAGGAGTTTATATTTGAACCTAGAAGTAATAGGGAATTACTGGAGTTTGCTGAGTATGGGGACAGGAGGGAGGTAGAATGGACAGAACTATGCTTTACAGAACTGATTAAATCATTTATCTTCTCTGGACTTTAGTTTCCTCCTCTGCACCATAGGCCCTTTCAGCTCTATATCCTATAATCTTGTAAAATTGTGAAAGGTTATGATTCAGGTAAATCTGTAGCAGAATTAAAATGAGAAGTTCTCTTTTAAAAAAAAAAAAGTTCATTTAGAATAAAGAAAATCCGTATGGAAATCACCTTGCATAATATGGAACAGATTCAAGTAGGTTCTAGAAATATTTTTTACCAGTCTGTGAACAATAGATGGTTTAATTAAATTAGTTTGTTAAATTGAATTGCATTGAATTAAATTGGTAAAGGGAAAACAGGAACATCTGTGTAGCATTGTGTTCAATCCAACTTAACAGTTTGTTTGCAAAACATTGTGCCTGTTGTTAAGAAAATTTAAGAGATAAGACACTGTCTCTGCTTTCTTGAAGTTTAAAGTCCAATAACTGAGTTTTATAGGATGCTCTAAGGTTTTTGTGGTTGTTTTGAGTCTTTTCAGTTGTATTCAATTCTCTGGGACCCCATTTGGGATTTTCTCAGCAAAGATACTGGAGTGGTTTGCCATCTCCTTCTCCAGCTCATTTTACAGATAAAGAACTGAGACAAACAACGTTAAGTGACTTGCCCAGGGTCACAAAGCTAGTAAATGTCTGAGACCAGATTTGAATTCAGGTCCTCCTGACTCCAGGGCTGGTATTTGCTCTATCCACTATGCCACCTACCGGTCCTCTCTAAGGTTTACAAATCATTTTCCAAAAGACAAACCTATAGTCAGTGCTAATATCCCATTTGTAAATTATTTGAGCTGTGTTACACTCTTCTCCAAACCATCCTCTGGAGCCCTAATCAGAGATTGATCTCTGGCCCAGATATTCATGTCCTGTGTACTATGACACACCTATATGCAATTAATTACACTTTGATTATTCTGGGCCATAAAGATGAATTGATTCACATGATGAGGTTATTTTAGTTTATTTTGGGAAGAGAGCATCTTTTGCCAGAACGTTGGCCCCTCACATGTGATACTTGATATAGGTGCTTGATATAGCTGAATGCCCTCATCGTGATCCCAGATACTCATTCCCAATTTTCTGTCTGTTTGAACAATGTTATTTACAATAGTCATCTTAGAAGTCAACCTCTTATCCATGTAAAAGAAGGAAATGAAGAAATATGTCTTCAACTAACTCTGGAATTTGGTTTTGAAGAATTCTGTCAGAGCAGATTTAACTGATCAACCTTCTTCCTTAAGGAGACTTATTTGTTTAGAAAAATCACTTGTTGCATTGAAGTGTGTTTTTAGCAAAACAACTTTCAGAGTATGGGAAGAGGCAATAAAAATCCTTATTCCTCATAGCTCCCTTAGAGCTGGGAAAAAAAAAAAGATAACTCATTTTTGATCAGTTTAATTCTCAGTATCACAAGAAGTGCTCTCTGAGTATAACTAGTGTTTCAGAACAATATGGTATAGGGGAAAGCTCAGTGTTTGGGGATTTGAAAGATTTATGTTTGAGTCCCACCTTTGTTACTATTGGTATGACCTAGGACAAGTCACATCACTTCTCTAGTCCTCATTTTCCATCTACAAGATGAGCTAACATTAATGTCCTTTCTTTCTCCAAATCCTCTTTTATCCAACTTTGAGGTTCTGAGCCTGGGCTGACTCAGATTAGTCTGGTGAGTTAGGCTTGAAATTGGAACAAAATGGGACTCTATATAAGAAAAGGAGTTTACTTAACAATAGCCTGCAAATGATTTAGGAAGGAAATAGAATTGTCCATAATAAATTTTTAAAAATAAAAGAAACCAAAAAAAAGTCTGCTTTTGACCAAAAATCTCTGGAAGCAGTTGTTAATTTATTTTTGTCCAGAGATATTTATTGTTGGCTACTTAATAATTAACTTATTTATGGAATATTAACCTATACTTATGTCCCATAATTCATCCCTTTCTAGTTCGTGTTGTTTGGGGTTAAGTGTTATGAATAATTCAGAAGGATTTAATTTTGCTTTATTTGTACATGTGTTCAGTGGTTATAGGTGTTCTTCCTGAATCATCAGTTTAATACTGATACTGTGGTTATCAGTGCCCTTAGTTACTCATACAGTGTGTGTGTGTGTGTGTGTGTGTGTGTGTGTGTGAGAGAGAGAGAGAAAGAGAGAGAGAGAGAGGTTTTAGAGAGGAGACATGAACCAAGCTTGAAGGTTTTCTTCCTTATTAGTGAATACAAGTGAAAATCGATATCCCATTTAATATATCTTGGGGCTAAATGTTTTCACACTATTTCCTTTTCTCTACCATCTTCCTTTCTTTTCTGGAACTCTTGTGGGACACTTAGTGGAGTATTTCTTGAAATTACTTCTCCATATAAATCCTGCAGCATCTAGTTGAGTTTGGAACGTGAAGTTTAACTTTCCATTGGTTCTCTCAATTCATTAGCTCCTTAGCAAATTACTCTCTGCTTTCTCTTGTAAGAGAAAAGTCCTGTCAGCAGGAGATGTTGGGAAACTGCTCCACGTGCTGTGTATCTGCTCTCATATTCTATGTTTTATGTACTAGGGTGCTGATATACAGCCTTTTCCCCCACTTGAATTGAAATAATTCAGTAGCTATAACTTTAGGCTCCAAAGGGAAAAGCATTTCCAACTCAATAACTTATACTCCATTTTAGTCCATAAGTGAATATATAGGCCAATATTGTGTGTTTGTAGGCATAACAACAGTCCTTGTTCCACCACCTAAGTCTAGAATATGGGCATGTTAGAAAAGGAATCCTTCCTTATCTGTGTGACCGCTTAGGAAATGTGTGTCACTTTGGCATCATTTTCTCTCATCCGTTAGGTTTCCTCCAGTGACTTTCTCCTAGTCATTCCATTGTGGGTTATCTTACTGACTCTTCCTTTTGTTTAGGGAAGAAGATGAGTATTCAGAGTTTCGATCAGAACTCAGCCAAAGTCAACAAGAAGTCAATGAGGATTCTCGAAGCTTGGATCAAGACCAGACATCTGTCTCCATCCCTGAGAATCAATCCACCATGGTCACTGCTGACATGGGTGAGTCTCTTAGCAAAAGAGCACTGGATTTGGAGTCAAGTACCTGAGTTTAAATTCTGCCTCTGTCACGATGTATGTGACTTTGGGCAAGTCAGTTAACTTCTGGGCCTAAGTAACCTCAGATGGGGGGGCAGCTAGGTAGCACAGTGGGTCTGGAGTCAGGAGGACCTGAGTTCATATCTGGCCCCAGACACTTACCAGCTTTGTGACCCTGGGCAAGTCACTTAACCGTAGCTGCCTAAAAAAAAAAGTGACCTCATATACCAAGTGAGGGCATTAACCTAAATGATCTCCAAGGTCTTTTCTACTCCTAAATCAATAACTTATAATGCTTACCAATATTACAATAAGACTAAAGCTCTAGTCTTTATAGGTGCAATACGTGTTATGTGTAAGAAATACTGATCTGAGAATTTAAACCAAAAGGGCAAAGAATAAATAGTGTCTTCAGATAAATGAACAGGAGCAGATAAAGCTCCAAATAGATACATGACCTTGACATAAAAGGTTATATCGTGAACAGTTCTTTCAGACTTTGTCCAGTTTAAAGAAAATATAAAGAAGTATGTATACATCTTTACTCCTTTTGGAGGTGTGAAGAAGTTTCTCAGTCAACTTAATGGAATTATAGGGAGGTTAGCCATTGGCTTGCTAAAGTGTTAAACACTGCCTTGGTGGTTTTTAAAAAGCAAGAGTAATCTCTGAAAAGTGAGTCTTCTCTGGCTGTTGAGAAGAAACTCATCTATCGAGGAAGGAAGAATTGGGTTCTTTGCCCTTTTCATTGCACCTTTACCAGGGTGCTTTGGGGGATGGGATCATTTCTCTTCTCATCAATTGGAAATGTCATCTTGTAGCTTAGTCATTTACCCAGTAGGAGACGTTGAGCCCAAAAGAGAGCATGCCCAGAAAGTTCAGCTCCAGAGTTCAGTAGATGTGTGGAAGGGAGCAGGCCCAGGAAACCAAAAAGAGACACTGCACCGAAAAGCAGTGTGAGGACTTTATGACAAAGAGTAAAGATATTAGGGTCCTACAGTGTCAGGTGTGATTTGTGTTGGCGATGTGTGTTCCCTACATGTCTACGGTCTATGCTAGTGTATCTCTGCTAGATATTCTTGACCTTTTGTTCTTTCAGATGAATTTTGTTATTATTTATTATTTTTTCTAGCTCTATAATTTTTTTTTATTTCTTTTACTTCTATACCTAATCTATTCTGTTGATCCATCACTGTTTCTTAACCTGTACTAGATTGTTTTGATGATTATCATTTTGTAGTATACTTTGAAATCTGACCCTGCTAAGCCATCTTCCATCACTTTTTTTCATTGATTTCTCTGATATTCTTTACCTTTTATTCTTCCAGATGAAAGTTATTTCTTCTAGCTTTATAAAATAATTCTTTGGTAGTTTTATTGGTATGGCACTGGAAAGCATATTAATTTAGGTGGAATTATCATTTTTATTACATTGACTCAGTCTATGAGCAATTAATTTTTTTCCAATTGTTTAGCTCTGACTTCAGTTGTATGAAAAGTGTTCTGAAATTGTGTTCGTACAGTTTCTGGGTTTGTCTTGGAAAATGACTCCCAAGTATTTTATATTGTCTACAATTATTTTAAATGGAATTTCTCTTTCTATTTCTCGTTACTGGACTTTGTTGGTAATATATAGAAATGCTGATGATTTATGTGAGTTTATTTTATATTTTGCAACTTTGCTAACTAAAGTTGTTAAAACTATTTCAACTAGTTATTTTAGTAGATCCTCTAGGATTCTCTAAGTATACCATTCATATTATTTGCAAAGAGTGAGTTTTCTTTCCTCATTGCCTATTCTTATTGCTTCCAGTTCTTTTTATTGTCTTATTGCTAGAGTAATAGTGTTGATAATGGGCATCCTTGCTTTACCTTTTATTTTATTGGGAAGACTTCTAGCATATCCCCATAATAATATGCTTGCTGATGATGTTTACTGATGGTTTTAGGTAGATATTACTAGTCATTTTAAGGAAAGCTCCTTTTATTCCTATGCTCTCTAGTGTTTTTAATAGGAATGTGTGTTGTATTTTTTTTTTTTTTCTTGACGAGGCAGTTGGGGTTAACTGATTTGCCCAGAGTCACACAGCTAGTAAGTGTTATATGTCTGAGGCCGGATTTGAATTTAGGTCCTCCTGACTCCAGAGCCTGTACTTTATCCACTGCACCACCTAGCTGCCACTGTGTGTTGTATTTTGTCAAAGGCTTTTCTGCATCTTGAGATGCACAGATAATCATATGATTTTTTGTTGTTTTTGTTAATGATATTATCAGTTATGCTGATAGTTTTCCTAATATTGGACCAGCCCTACATCCCTAGTTAAATCCTTTCTGGTCATAGTGTATGATCCTTGTGGTATATTGTTGTAATCTCCTTGCTAGTATTCATTAGGGAAATTGTTCTATAGTTTTCTTCTCTGTTTTTGCTCTCCCTGATTTAGGTATCAACAACATATTTGTGTCATAAAAGGAATTTGTTAGGACTTCTTCTTTGCCTATTTTCCACATGGGTTATATAGTAATGGAATTAATTGTTCCTTAAATGTTTGGTAGAACTCATTTGTGAATCCATCTGGCCCCAGAGATTTTGATTCATTGATGATTTGTTCAATTTTTTTTTCTAACATGGAGTTATTTAAGTATTCTGTTTCCTCTTTTAATCTGGCAATTTATATTTTTGTAAATATTCATCTATTTTGATCCACTTACTCTTTAAAATTAGTTGCCAATTTATTTTTAATCTCTCCAAAGCCTTTTATTGGATGCAATTTTCATTGTATTATGATCTGATTTAGTATTTCTTCTTTTCTAAATTTGTTCTGAAGTTTTTATGCCCTAATCCATGGTCAGTTTTTGTGAAGGTACCATTCAGCTGAGAAAAAGATATATTTCTTTCTATTCCCATTCTTTTTTTTTCCCAGAATCTATCATATCTAACTCTTCTAAAAGTTTATTCACCTCCTTAACTTCTTTGTTGTTTATTTTATTTTTTTTTTGATTAGATTCATCTAATTCTTAGAGGGGAAAGTTGAGGTTTCCTACTGGTATAGTTTTATTGTCTGTTTCTTCCTGTAACTCATTTAACTTCTTTTAAAATTTAGATGCTATACCATTTTGTGCATAAATGTTTGATTATTGATATTACTTCATTGTCTATCATACCTTTTAGCAAAATATAATTTCCTTCCTTATCTCTTTTAATTGGATCTTTTTTTGCTTTTGCTTTGTTTGAGATCGTGATTGCTACCCCTGCTTTCTTTCTTACTTCAGCTGAAGCATAATAGATTTTGCTCCAGCCCCTTTCCTTTAAACTCTATGTGTGTTTCTGTGCTTCAAATGTGTTTCTTGTAAACAGTTTATTGTACAATTCTGGTTATTCCACCATGCTGTCCACTTCTGTTTTTGTGGGTGAATTCATCCCATTCACATTTACAGTTCTGATAACTAACTGTGTATTTCTCTCCATCCTATTTTTCCTTTGTTTATCTTTCTGTCTCTTAAACCTTTCACTCTGTCCCTCCTCACAAATGTTTTACTTCTGACCGTCCTGACTTCCAATCCTTCCTTTCTCTCAGTCCCCCCACTTTCTCTTATTCCTGTCCCTTTTTTACTTTCCTATAGAGTAAGATAGATTTCTTTATCCAACTGAGTGTGTATGTTATTCCCTCTCTGAGCCAATTCTGATGAGAGTAAGGTTCAAGTGTTGCCCATCACTCCCCCCTCCCAATTTTCCTCTCCACTGTAATAGCTCTTTCATACTCTTATGTGAGATAAGTTACCCCATTCTCTCTCCCCCTTCCCTGGGAAGACCAGAGTAATCTTTTTTCTCATCCTTAATTTTTTTTTTTTTTGGATATCATCCCATCATAATCAACTCTCCCTCATGCCCTCTGTCTATATATACTCCTTCTAATTGCTCCAATATTGATAAAGTTCTTAGGAGTTACAAATATCATCTTGCCATGTAGGAATATAAGCAGTTTAACCTTATTGAATCTCTTTTGTTTTCTCTTTCTTGTTTCTCTCTTTTTGTGAGGCAATTGGGGTTAAGGGTTTGCCCAGGGTCACATAGCTAGTAAGTGTCAAATTTCTGGTCTGAGACTGGATTTGAACTTGTGTCCTCCTGACTCTGGGACTGGTGCTCTATCCGCTGTGCCACCAAGCTGCCCTGTTCCTCGTTTTTCTAATGCTTTTCTTGAGTCTTTTATTAGAAAATCATTTTTGTTTTTAATTTAGCTCTGGTCTTTTAATTAGGAATGTATGTAATTTCTCATTAAAAAAAAAAAACTGACCTGGAAAATAGATCCCGGAAAAATAAGAATTACTGGAGTACCTGAAAGTCATGATCAAAAACATCATTATAACATTGCTGTTACCATGCACAATGATCTCCCATTTCTTCTCACTTTACTTTGCATTAGTTCACATAGGTCTTGCCATGATTTTCTGAAACCACCCTCCTCATTATTTCTTGTAGCACAATAGCACTTCATCATAATAATGGGGCATCCCCTTGATTCCCAATTCTTTGCCACCACAAAAAGAGCCTTTTAAAATATTTTTATACTGACCTAGTAGTCGTATTGCTGGGTCAAAGGTATGCAGAGTTTTATATTCCTTTGGACATTGTTCCAAATTATTCTCCAGAATGGCTAGACCACATGATTACTCCACCAGCAGTTCATTATTGTACCTATTTTTCCCTTATCTCCTTCAGCAATTGTCATTTATGCAAGTGTCAGGTAGTACCTTAAAAGTTATTTCAGTTTAGATTTCTCTGATGAATAGTGATTTAGAACATTTTTATATGACTACAAATAACTTTGTTTTCTTCTTCTGAACACTGCCTGTTTGTATCCTTTGACTATTTATCAATTGGGAAATGGCTCCTTTTTTAGAAATTTGATTCATTTTTATATTCCATTTACATTTGAGAAATAACGCCTTTATCAGAGAAACTTGCTGTAAAAATTTTTGATATTATTTTATTGTCTATGGTACCTTTTAGTAAAATATATTTTCCTTGATTATCTCTTTTAATTAGGTTTATTTTTGCTTTTGCTTTGTCTGAGATCGTGATTGTTATCCCTGCCTTTTTTTGTTTTTACTTCAGCTGATGCATATTAGATTCATTCTAGTTCTTTGTTTTAACTCTGTGTCTGTCTGTCTGTCAGTCTGTCGGTCTGTTTCAAGTGTGTCTCTTGTAAACATATTGTTGGATTCTTTTTTTTTTTTGTGAGGCAATTGGGATTAAGTGACTTGTGCAGGGTCACATAGCTAGTAAGCGTTATGTGTCTGAACGCAGATTTGAACTCAGGTCCTCCTGACTTCAAGGCCGATACTCTATCCACTTCACCACCTAGCTGGCCCTGGATTCTGGTTTCTAATCCATTCTGCTATGTGTTTCTCTTTTATGGGTGAGCTCGTCACTTTCACATTCACAGTGATGATTATTGTGTATTTCCCTCCATCTCATTTTCTGTTTTTTTTTCTTCTCTCTTTTTATCCTGTCCCTCCTCAAAAGTCTATATTTTGCTTCTGACCACAGCCTCCCTTAATTTGCCCTCCCCTTTAGGATCTTTTCCCTTTCGCTTATAAATTTCATTTCCTTTTTCCCTATTGAGTAGGTTATATTTCTATACATATCTTAGTGTGTATACCTGTTCTCTCCTAGAACCAATTCTGATGAGAACATTGCCTGCCACCCCTTCCCTATTTTCTCTTCCCTTGTGAAAACTCTTCCTTGCATGACTCTTTTATGTGAGAAAAGTTTCCCCCTTCTGCCTCTCCCTTTTGCTTTTCTTTCTAACATTTAATGTTTGTTTTCCTTTTATACTATTCTGCCTTTAAATAGTGAAACTGATAAGCCAGCTTTCCACTCTTGTCTTTTGTGGCCTAAAAATCCTAAAGTAGGATTCAGAGACTGATTGTTTCTGGTGCTGAGAGAGGCATTTAATGGAGCAATTGTATCATCACAAATATACTATTTGTAGGCAAGTTAGGTTTTGCAAACATCCATAATCAAACACATAATTATTATTTGATGTGCTGTAATAACATAACCTTGCACAGAAGATAGGGCTTTGATGTACCTACATTAAAGTAGACTATTGCAGTAAAAAATAATTAATAATAAGCATTTACAAAATGCTTAGCACAGTGCCTGGCACATGATAGGTATTTAATGTTTATTGATTGGTTGAGTAATACTCACAGTAACCCTGGGAGGTAGGTGCTGTTAATCTTCAGGATTGTTTTTCTAACTTGGCTAAATAGAGTAGCAAACACTAATCAATATTTTATTAAAAAAACAAAACAAAACAAATAGAATTCCTAAAATCTTTGGAATTTTATAAATCTAGTGGATAGTTTTGACTAGCACTTTTTAGATCTTGGGTGGTTTTTCTTTTTTTTTTCAGTGTTTTATGACTTTCGAAATACCATATTCTCAGGATAAGAAGCACATATAATGCCTTTGTTGGTTGTGATTTTTTTTTTTTAACAAAACATGTCCTTGGTGTATGAAAATTTTGGAGCACAACCAAAGAAATAATGTGTGGATAAAACTTGGTTCTTTGCACATTTGTAAGTAATAAATATGTTTAATGTTGAAGTCAAATATTTTCTTGCTTCTAATAATAGATTAATTTTAACTATTTCAGCAGTCAATAGATATTTTTTTAAAAACCCTGGCACTCAAAAAAGTTCTCCTAAAATTTCTTAGGCTGAATAAACTTGTGTAAATAAGCTTGTTTCTCAAAAATATTTTGGCCTTTAATACAGTTTTTTTTTTCCTTGCAAACTGGGTACCAAGTGTTCTCAAGCTAAGACCCTTTTTAAAAAAAAAAATTTTATTGATATCTTTTATATATAAACTGAATGTCTCTTAGTTTCTTTCCTCCCCCATCCTAGAGGTCCATCCTGCATAAGAAATAGTATTTTTAAAGAAAGCAAAAGAAGAAAATCAGCAAAACCAATCAATTCATTGAAAAAGTCTGAAAACATCCATTGTTCCACACCCGTGGACCTACTGCTCTGCAAAGGAGTGGGCTAGGAGTGTGTTATTTCTCTTCTTTGGAACCGTGGTTTTTTAGTTTAGTAATTTTATACATTCGTTGTTATTGCTTTTAGATTGTTCCTTCTATCTATATTGTTGTAGTCATAGTGTTTGTTATTTTCCTGGCCCTTGCTTACTTTACTCTGCATCAGTTCATATAAGTTTTTCCATGCTTTTCTAGTCATTATATTCATTATTACTTTTGGAACAGTAATATTCCATTATATTTCTGTACCATAAAAAATGCTGCTTATAAATATTTTGATGTATATAAAATAATAGTAATTTCTTCTTATCAGTGACCTTTTATACAATCAAAATTATCTGCTTTATCATTTGCAATTATATCTATCCCTTGTTTGGTTACAAATACATCTACTTATAGCTGTTAAAGACATATGATCCATTTTTCTTCTAATTTTTTAATAGCATGATCTTTAATATTAAGAGGTCACCTATCCACTTTGAATTTTTTATCAAATATGGCTTAAGATGGTGGTCTTAGTCCAGTTTTTATCAGAATGCTTTCCAGCTTTGCCAGCAGTTATTTTGTTTTTAATATCAAATAGGGAGTTCTTTCCTAAGTAAATTACATTTTCTGGTTTATCAAACACTGGTTCCCATCATTCCTCGTTCTCTCTTATCTAGTCCGTTCCATCTAATTCTCTATTTTTAACTAATATTAAATGATTTTTTTTATTTCCTCCTTTTTCCTTAGTGTTCTCTCTCTCTTTCTGAATGTATATACATATGTGTGTGTGTGTGTATATGTGTGTGTGTATATATATATATACACACACACATACATATGTGTGACGGTGGTTTTATTTTTCTTTGTTCAGTTGGGAGGAAGATTGAAGGGGAGAGGAGAGCAAGGGACAAACAAGGGAAGGGAAGGGAAGAAATGATGTTAGGAAGGAAGGAAAGAATCATTGAAGATTTTAAATGCAGAGAAAAGAACAAAAGAAAGACCAAAAAGAATCACAGACAAGCAGGACAGCTTTGAAAATTATATGTTGAATGCATTATATACTTAAGAAAAGCAAGCTATAATATGAGATTTATATTTTCATATACAATGTTTTCTATAAATGTGAAATGATTATTTTATTTGATGATTTAATTCACAATTTTAAAAAATTAAAATAAAATGAATGTATACCATAGATCTAGTACAAAGTAGTCTATTTAAATGACTACAAGTCTAAATTATATGAGGGATACATTACATACACTTGTTACAATAGTAATGCATTTCTCTATAAAACAAACAGCTAACAGAATTAAAGGGAAAATATTATCAGTGGCATACAGTGTAACAAAATATGCAAAACATCAAAATTGTATATATAATAGGAAAATTATACCTAGACTAATGTAACTACAGTACATGCATAGAACTAAAACAGAAACAAAAAAACACAAGAAAATTATAAAAGAAGAACATACTTAATACATTATGTAATTAATGTGTGTAAGGAATAGGCCTTACTCAAACTGGTGCCTTTCTTGTTTAGTTTCAGTGTTGAAATGAAATGAGAATTCATTAGGTCATTCATCACTTAACAATAGATTTACTTAGCCATAGTACAGAAAGGATATTTAACTTATCCCTTGGTCAGCAAAGGAGGGTGTGGTGACTTACTTGGTCTTGAGCCATTGACCAGATCTGAAGGGCCCTGACTTCAAATTGATTGGTAATGCCCTCAAATAATGAGAAAGCCAAGTCAGTCTGGCCAGAAGCTACCAGGAAGCTGGATCAAGGGAGGCAGCTAGAGCCTTAGTTTCCTAGGCTGAGGGTGGGGGGAATGAAGAGACCTTGGTAGGTAATTATTCCCAACACAACATGCATCAGTGAAGACATTTAATTACATGCAGTGCATGCATTATATGAATAAACATAAGCGTTATCATCTGACTACATTTCTATCTATTTTGCAGTTTTCACTTGGGAAAACAAGTCTGGTCACTGTTTTACTAGTCCTAGTTCTCGTATGATATGCTGACTCATCTGCCACATACCTATCCTGGCCGATGGGATTGGATAATCATAATCCTCATTAGACTTATAATCCTGCATTCCTAAGCCTTTGGAGCCTCATGAAGCACTCCAGTCCCTAATATAGGTCATGGGATTTTAGAGTTGGAAGAAACCTTGGAAATCATCTTGTCTAGCTTCATTTTACAGATGAGGAAAATAAGGCCTAGACAGGTACAGAGACTTGCCCAAGGCCACACAGATAACAAGTAGCAGAGCCAAGATTGAGCCCAAGTTCTCAGATTTTAAATCCACTGTTCTTTTTGCATATTCCAAATGACTCCTAATTTTGAACCTTTTAAAAGAAACCTGCAAATCTGAGGCATAACACTAAAAAGAAGAGATCATGAAAAATCTGTTCATTTGTCAGTGAAAGGAAAGGGGAATTTAAAAGCAAGGTATGATCATTTGCATAGCAGTCCAGTTCTGGAACTCTTGGCTTGGGAACAGCAGAAGTCCTTTAAGCTTAAATTGGATATAAGATGGTTGGATGACTGGATGATATTTAAATCTCGACATGTCAGACTGCCGTGTGACATTTTGAATTATCTGCATTGTTATCTTTTGCAACACAGGGAAAAAAAGAGGAAGCTCCTTGATATACATGCCAAATATACTTAATTCCACACTTTTTACAGATAATTGCAGTGATCTCAATTCAGAATTGCAAAGAGTACTGACTGGTCTGGAGAATGTCGTCTGTGGGAGAAAGAAGAGTAGCTGTGGGCTCTCAGTGGCTGAAGTGGACAGACATATTGAACAGCTCACCACTGCAAGTGAACACTGTGATTTGGCTATTAAGGTAACCAGACAAAAATCACAGATCTGTGATGTCATTTGAAAGGTTATGATGAAAAGACATCCTCTCCTATACTATTCACACTTCCATATTGGTAGCAGGTATTATAAAGAAAACTATACTCAGTACATTGTGCCACCAAGCAGATAACAGATAATCAATTCATTAAATTAAATTAAATTAAATCAGTCATGGCCATGAAATGGACAGCTGAGTTCATTTATTGTGCAGTCAGTGAGCAATTTACCCAGCTATAATTAGGTTATTTAAACGTTGAGCCAGATTCTGTCAGTGTCTAAGCAATTCCTATGTTATATTAATCACTGTGAAAGTCCTATTGTTTCTCTCAGGGCCACTAGAATATCCTTTAAAGTTTTTGATTCACGGTGCTACTAAGACTAAAATAAGTTTTAGTCTCACTATTAGATTAGTTATATTCATAAAGAGGAAATACTATGTTCCAAAGTCTGTAGATTTTGTCCCAGCTGACATTCTGCTATGCACTATGGTAGGACCATAGGTCTGAAACTGGAAGGTGTTATCAGATAACATGCTCTCCAATCACTTTACTTTATAGAAGAAGAAACTGAAGCCTAGGGAGGACAAGTAATTTGTACAAGGTCAAACAGGGAGTAAACATGAGAAGCGAAATTTGAATCCGCGTCCTTCCTTGGACTCCAGAGCCAGTGTTATTTCTGCTATGCCAAGATAGCTCTATTTGTAAATGCACATCAGAATTTATAAGAGAGAAAAATCAGTGAGTAAACAAGCATTTTTAAAGAACCTACTAAGTACCAGGTATTGGTAGAGAGATAGTGCTGAAAATGCTAAGATAGACAAAAATAGTTCCTGCCCTCAAGGAGCTTACATTCTAAGTTTACATGGGGAAAACAACATACAAGATTAGATGATACTAAATAGATGTAAGGTATCCTGAGAGAGGAAGGCATTAGCAGCTGTGGCAACTGGAAAGGTGTTCTATAGAAAATGGTATTTGAGCTGTCTTGAAGGAAGCCAGAAGAACCTCATAGACAGATGTGAAGGGGGCAGAGCATTCTAGGCTTAATGAATAGCCAGGGCAAAGGCACAGAGTCAAGTAATGGAGTATTGCATGTGAAGAACTGGAGTTAGACCAGCATTGCTGGATCAGAGAAGGGAGTAAAGTAGAGGGAGATTGGAAAGTTAGGAAGGGTCCAGATTATAAAAAGCTTTAAATGACAGTACTTTATATTTGATTCTGGGGGTTGAAAGAGCACTATTGGAGCTCATTAACAAGGAGGGGTAAAATGGTCAGACAGACCTGAAGAACTTTAAAAATGTCACCTTTGTAGTTGATTGAATGAGGGGTTATAGTGGGGGAAAAACTTGAAGCAAAGAGACAGGTTAGAAAAGTACTGCAGTAGTCCATTTGAGCAGCCTGAACTAGGCTAAGCAAGTAGAGAAAAGATAACACTTAAAATAAATATTGTGTAGGACTTGACATCAGTTTAGATATGTGCAGTGAATGAGGAGAGTTGAGAGCTATACCAAGGTTGTGGGTCTGGGTGACTTGTAGGATGATGGTATCCTCTGTGGTAATAGGGAAGCTCAGATCTGGGTGGGGGAGAGTGTTGGACGACAGATAATTAGTTCTATTTTGGACATGTTGAGTTTGGAGCTATGAGACAACATTTAGTTTGAGATAATCAAAAAGGCCGTTGGTGATAAGAATCAGAAACTGGAGATACGGAGAGAAGCTAGGGCTGAGAATCATCACTAAACCCATAGGAGACCACCAAGTGAGATAGTATAAAGAGAAGAGGGCCTAAGACAGATCCTTAAGGGACACTGGGACACCTAAGTGTAGTGGGCATGATGTGGATGATGAACTAGCAAAGGAAATTGAGGACTAGTTAGATAGGAGGCAGGAGAGAAGGATGTCATGAAAGCCTGGAGAAGAGATAGTATACAGGAGTAAATGGTAATTAATATTGTCAAAGGCTACAGAGAGATGAAGAATTTTGAGGATTGAAAAAAAAAGGCCATTAGATCTGGCAATTAAGAGATCATTGTGTAACTGGAGAGGACAGTTTCAGTTGCATGATGAGATCAGATGACATATTGCAGAGGGCAAGAAAGAATATGACTGGATCAATGAAAAGTCGTTAACTTCATAGCAAAAACAACTTGGAATGTATATCCTATTGACAGAGGATACAAATATACAAATACAAAAGAGAATCCTTTAAACAAGTTACTGCCTGAATACTCATATATCTCTGACTTAGTGTATACACCCAAAGGAGTTTCCTTGCCTAAAATCACATAGCTAATAAGTATCTGAGGAAGACTTTGAACATGCTTCCTTACTCCACATCCTGTCATCTTATACTATGTAGCTTCTTAGCCTTCTAACATGAGAATCTGAATAGTTATAAAAGATGTTTAAGTTATCACCAGGGGACTGCTTATATCAAGGCACAATCTGGTTCAGTGTTTGCAAGAGAATGACCATAAATTAAAGAATTATTTTTTTTATCAAAAATCTTCAGTATACCAAAGAAAACTCTAGTGTATGTTATACAATGACTTATCTTTATTACTTAGATTAAATATGTATTTAGTTAATACAGTTATGGGGAGGATCCCTGGTGTTTTCCTTTCTAGCGTCTCACAGCTGTTGCTTCAAAACTTAAAGTCCTGGTAGAAGAGCAGCAACAGTGTAGATTAGGTGGGAAGCCAGGAGGAGGCAGGTATAGCTACCAGAGACCCCTAAAACCACTGGACTGAAGCATCCCTTCTGAAGTGCAAATCAGGGAGAGTGACATGGACAATAAACTCTTTACTTGAATGAACAGGCATCTTGGAGAAGAGCATTAAGTCTGAAAATGTGAGCTCTTAGTATTGGAAGTAGTGTTAATAATTGCTTCCATATGCTGAAAGAAGACACAGAAGTATGTTTCTTTCTGGTTTTTTTTTTTCCAATGCGATGATACCCAAAGATAGCTATATGGACACTATTTTGTCCTAGCTTTGGTGCTTGAAACCTACCTGGAAGAATACATATTCTCTGGAGCCACTTGGAAATTCTGGTATCCTGGCTATCCTGTTTGATAAATATATTTTAATATAATTGCCTAGCTAGTTAGCTTAAGATTATCATTATGTGGTGTATTTTCTCTGTCCTTCATCTAAACACACTTAAGCCCCCCCACTTTTTTTTAATTTAATTGACCAATACTTCATTCCACAAAGATTATTAGAACTAACATAGTGTTTCAAAAAACAAGAAAAATGGGTAACTTTTTGATCCTCATTTCCTGCATGTTATTTTTCTTTTAGACACACACATAATATTGTACTCCCATTTCCAAGCACTATTAAGGAAGGCTTTATAATGACACAAATCCCTCAAAGACTGTGTCTATCTTCTATATCACCGAAGGCCATTTTGTTTTTTTTTCCTGTTTTAGAACTGAAGTTCATGCAGTCTGAATTCCTGTGATGTACAGAGAGCTCTGTTATAGTGAAATAACATGTCTTGTCGCTGAATTGGTTTTAAAGGACCTTTAAATGAGGAAGTTTCCAATCAGATTTTGTATGTAGTGTTCAACATAATGTGTTTTCACAGAATTATAAAGATTACTAATTATATGAGGAAGCAGCTTGTTGACTAATTATATAGTCCTAAGAATTTTATGTATTTTTGATATTCTCCATTTAGAGTTGTAAAGGTAATAGGCATCTATTAAGTGCCGACTGTGTTCTGGGAAAGGTGCTAGGGATCCAAAGACAAAAATGAAACATCTTTTGTTCTGATGGAGCTCAGGGTTTTTTATTTATTTATTTATTTTGAGAAACATATACATTAAATTATATTTTAAAATACAAAATAGGCAAAAGATGTAAATTTTTGTAGAAGAGGGCACTAATAGCTGGGGGGATTAGGAAAGTCTTCATTCTAAAGGTGACACCTAAGCAGAGTTTTGAAGGAAATGAGGCATTCTAAGATGAGGGTGAGGAGGGAACATATTTCAGGCATGGGGGCATCCAGTACAAAGGTGCAGATATAAGAGATAGAGAGCTATATGTGAGGAACAACAGCAAGAGGGCCAATTTGACTGAACCACAGAGTGTGAGACAGTAATATAAATAAAGTTTGAATGGTATTTTGGAGCTGGGTTGTAAAGTTCTTAAAAGACAGAGAACTTAATATTTGATTCTAGAGTCGATAGGAATTGACAGGAGTTTGTTGATGAAGGGAGTAATATTTACAGATTGGCACTTTAGGAAATTAACTTTGCAGCTATGTATAGAATAAAACTATATGCAGGTTGTAAGGGGAAAAACTTGATGCAGAGGATCAATTAGCCTGTTGCAGTAGTATTGACAAGAGGTGATGAGAGCCTCCACTAGGGTGATAGCCATGTGAGTAGAGATTAAAGGAAAGATTCTAGAAATGTGGGTGTGGAAACAGCAACATTTGGCAACTGATTGGATGTATGGTATGAGGGCAAGTTTAACCTTGGATAACACTGAGGTTATGAACCTGAGTGACTGGAAAGATGGTAATACCTTTGACAAAAATAAGGAAGAGAAGGGGCCTATGGCAAAACATGAGTTCCTATTTTAACATGTTGAAACTGAGATGCCCACGAGACATCCAGTTTTAAATAACCAGTGGGCTATTGGAGATGTGCAACTAGTTTTTTATGTATTTGGTGAACATCTGTATAGAAATAATTAAAATTACAGAAGGTGATGAGATCACCAAGTGAGAGAGTCTAGATCAAATAAGATAATATTTTTAATGCACTTAACAAAGTGCTTGGCATATAGTAGGCACTTAATAAATGCTTGTTCCCTTTCCTAGAGAGAGAAGATGACCCAGGACATAAAGCCCATCATTAGGAGGTGTTATTTGGATGATGAGCCAGTAAAGGTGACTCAGAAGAAGGCAGGTTGGAGATGCAGCAGGAGAAAGAGCAGCATAATAAAAACCCAGAGAGGACAGGGTATCCAGGAGGGAGGAAAGTCAGTAGGATCATATGCAGCAAAGACTTCAAGAAGAATGAGTGTGAACTTTGAAAATGCAGTCATATTTGGCAATTAAGAAATCATTGGTAACTTTAGAGAGAGTAGTTTCAGTTGAGTAATAAGATTGGAGGTCAGATTACAAAAGAATGAGGAGTGAGAGAAATGTGTTATTGTTGATGGCTTTTTCTGAGAGCTGGACTGCAAAAGAAAAGAAAGTCATAGGATGATAGCCTGAGTGAATGATTGGGTATAATGTGTTGGGTTGATTTTTTTTTTTTTCATTTTTTTTTACTCTAGCATGGAGAAGATGTGTGTATATTTCAAGAAAAGAGCCAGTAGACAGGGAAAAATCAAAGCTTAGAAAGTAAGTAAGGCTGATAATGAGGCCAATCTACTGCAGCAGCTGGGAGGCAGTAGAGTGAAGAAGGGTTAGCCTTATCAAGGAAAAGAGTCGCCCTTTCGTCAGATTCTAGAGTAAAGGGGAGGATATAATAAAGTTTACTGTCAAGTTTTTTTTAAGACATGGAGGGGGAAAAAAAGAAGTTTGTGGGCAGTGGTCTCCATTCCTACAAGTAAAGTATAAGGGATATTGAACTGAGAAGATTGGGGAGGGAATAGTGTGAGAAGCTTGAGGAGAAAAAATTTAGAACAGTCTCTGTGAAAAGTAGGACACGCAATCAGTTATGGAATAGTAAAAGAATTGTCTTGCTGTGGTAAGGACTCAAGATTACATAACACAAATTTTTAAGTACTTGTGTTGAATATTACAATTACTTTTATAGATGTAAACCTAGGAAAAAGAATATTTTTCTGGCTCTTGAGATTTTTGAATAACATAGTTTATGACCATACTGCCTCTATCTGTAAAATAAGGAAATTACTGAAAATTAAAAAATTTTTAAAAGTATAGTCTTAAATACCATTTTAAAAGAAATCATTGTGCCAATCTCAGGTGGGCTCTTATTTATATATGATACTTTTTTTTTTCCATCTCTCCTTTCCCTCCAAAGTTAATCTTTCCTTCTTTCTGCATTGGGTTTTTGTAGACAGTTGAAGAGATTGAAGGAGTATTGGGTCGGGATCTCTATCCCAATTTGGCTGAAGAGAGATCTCGATGTGAAAAAGAACTGGCTGGCCTAAGAGAAGAGAATGAAAGCCTGACTGCCATGCTGTGTAGCAAAGAGGAAGAACTCAACAGGACCAAAGCCACCATGAATGCTATCCGGGAGGAGAGAGACAGGCTACGAAGAAGGGTAAGAAGCCTGGTCCCATACATAGCTTTTTAATTTTCTTTTGAAAGTGTGTTTCTAAGAAAAATTAGCACAGAGAGACTACATCTTGAACTTTGTATAGCATTAGAAATTTTAGCTTTCCCAAACCATAATTTATAAAGTAATCTTTTGATGCAGTCTTAAAGTATAAAGAAGTTACTTGAGGTAAGCTTTTTTGTAGAGCATTATAACCTAATGGAGTCCAGGTACATTTTCACCTTATGTCAGGGAATGTGTCAATAATGGTAATATTGGTATAATAATAATAACTGATCATTTCAAGAGTAGAAAAGTATATCAAATCTGTTTGTCAGAAAGAGTGATCTTCAAAGTTATGATTTCTCCTTGAAAGGCTCATCCTTTGTCTTTGTTGAGTTAGATCTGGTTTGAAGGAAAAGAGAGAACAGAGCAAAAGTAGGACTTCTCTCAGTAAATATTTTAATTTCCTCTGAACTGAGTTTTGAATTTCCTGCCTATCCCCATTCTTGTTCTCCTTTTCTGAATGTCTTGCAATGGAATACCAATTTAAAATCTTTGTTTTCTAAAACAGTAAAGCAAAATAGGAATTCAATTGAGAGAAAACTGAATCACTATAAACAAAAAAAAAATTAGAGGACACAGTCAGCCCTCTAGTGTTCATTTAATCTCTTCAACTTCTAAAGGGCAACTTTGAAAAGTGTGATTTCTCTGTTAATATCAATACCTGTGATCACTACATTTGTTTCCAAATTGTGTGCATGTTAATTTTCTTATGAATTTTCATCATACTTGAGTAAAGAATACAGGAAATTTTTAACTGATATTTTTCTTTAGCAGCAAGGTCATGTTTCTTGAGGAAGAGCATGTCAGTATTTCTTAATTATTCAACTGGGTGATATCTAACATTCTGAGTTGTTTTTTTTTTTAAGTATTTCAATATTTTATTTTTTCCAATCACAAATATAAACAATTTTTAACATTCCTTTTTAAAATTTTTGAGTTTCAAATTCCCACCAAAATTTGTCATTTTTCTTTTTCTTTCATACTAACCAATCTGATAAGTATGGGGTGGTGCCTCAGAGTTGTTTTAATTTGCATTTCTCTAATCAATAATGAATTAGAGAATTTTTTTATGTGACTCGATAGCTTTGATTTCTTCTTCTGAAAATTCTCTTCATATCCTTTGACCATTTATTAATTGGGAAATGACTCATATTCTTATAAATTTGACTTAGTCCTCTATATATTTGAGAAATGAGGCCTTTATCAGAAAAACTTGCTGTAAGTTTTTTCCTCAGTTTTCTGCTTTCCTTTTAATCTTTGCTGCATTGGTTTTGTTTCTGCAAAACTTTTTTAATTTAATGTAATAAAAATTATCCATTTTATATTCTGTAATTCTATGACTTATATGATTATAATTTCTTTCTTTATCCATAGATCTGACAGGTAAACTATTCCATGCTCCCCTAATTTGCTTATGGTATCACCCTTTATGTCTAAATCATGTACCCATTTTGACCTTATCTTGGTATATAGTGTGTGATGTTATTTATATCTAGTTTTTGCCGAATTGCTTTCTGGTTTTCCCAACAGTTTTTGTCAAAAACTGAGTTCTTGTCTTACAAATGGGGATTTGGGGTTTATAAAACATTAGATTACTGTGGTCATTACCTACTGTATATTGTGTACCCAATCTATTTCACTGATCCACCACTCTATCTCTTGGTTAGTACCAGATTTACTGCTGTGTAGTACAGCTTGAGAGTTTTCCTTCATATTTTTTAATTAATTCCCTTCATATTCTTGAATTTCTGTTCTTCCAGATGAATTTTGTTGTTATTTTTGGCTCTATAAAATATTTTTTGGTTGTTTGATTGGCATGGCACTGAATAAATAAATTAATTTAGTAGAATTGTCATTTTTATTATATAGGCTTAGACTACCTATGAGCAGTTTGTTGTTGTCCTTTGTTCTGAGAGGTACAAAATGACATCACTATGTCAGGATCAAGGTATAGCGTGTCAGACTGTGGATAATCAGACCGATACAGCCTAAGAAGGCTCTACCACAAGCCAGGGACAAATAGTCCATATGAACATTTGGAATGGAGATGTTTCTAAATTTGTGCAGTTCATATTTTTTTAAGCTACTGCAATTCTGCTTTGTTCATAGAGCACAACACCTTCTTTGACACAGACATACTGTGCTGGGTGCTCCTGTGCCAGGGTCAGTTGTTTTTTCAATGAGATATTTCAAATTTTCTTCTATTTTTTCCTTCCTTTGATTTTGTTTTATTCTTTCTAGATGTCTCATGGAGTCATTAGCTTCTACTTTCCCAGTTCTAATTTGTAAGGAATTATTTTCTTCAGTGAACTTTTATACCTCCTTTTCCACTTGGCCAATTCTACTTTATAAGGAGTTTTTTCTTCAGTGAATTTTTGCACATCTTTTTTTTTTTTTTTTGGCTTCATTTACCAAAGCTGTTGACATGTTTTCATGATTCGTTTGTATCACTCTCATTTCTTTTTCCAATTTTTTCCTCTACCTCTCTTGTTTAATTTTAAAAATCCCTCATGAGCTCTTTCAGCAAATGTTTTTGGGCCTGACAGCAATTCACTTTTTTCTTTGAGACTTTGCATATAGCTGATTTGACGCTTGTCATTTTCTGAGTTTGTTTTGAGTGTGTCACCATAGTAACTTTCTATGATCTGGTTCTTTTTTTGTTGCCCGCTCATTTTTCCAGCCTATTTCTTGACTTTCAACTTTATGTTAAAGTTGGGTTCTACTCCCAGGGTGGAGGCACTGTCCCAAGTTTCAGGTTTTTTGCTCTGCTGTTTTCAGAGAGCTAGTTCTGGAAGCCTCTAAATTTTCAGTTCTTCCAAGGTGATATGATTGAAGGAGAGGTGCAGTCACTACTCTCCTGGCCTGTGCTATGGTCTATGAGCAAAACCAAGCACTCTTTTCCAGCCTGGAACTGTGACCAGAGTCCTCACTCTCCTGTGGCCAGTGTGTTAGTGCTCTGCAAGCTGGGCCTGCATCCCAGATCCCAGTATGGGAAATGCCACAGAGTCCTTCACCCAGTATCAACAAAGGGTCCTCTTGTAATCTCTTTCTGATCAGCTGTTTGACCATCTTACTGTCTGTGGCTGAGAGCTCCAGAAGTTGCTGCTGCAGATTCAGTTACACCTGAGGTCTGCTGGTTTGCTGGGCATTGTTGGCTTGAGGGGCACAGCCTGCTGCTGGCTTTCTGAGGTATGGCCTGTGCTGGACTCCACTCTCTCCCTAGTAAGACAGGCCTTTTCTGTTGACCTTTTCAGTATTAATTGGAAATTTGTTTTGCCCCCTCTGGTTTTGCCACTCCATAATTTGTTTTGAGGCATTGTTTTAAAGGTGGTTGAAGGGGAATTTAGAAGAGCTCAGATGAGTCCCTCCCTTTATTCTGTCATCTTCACTCTGCCCTCTAAAACTCTAACGTTATTTTCAAGGCAAAATCTTTTATTTTATATCAGAAGCCGTTTTCCACAGGCCAGGGTAAATCATCTCAGTCAGCAAAAGTTTTTATCTGTGCAGAGTAATGAATTTGCTTACCACTTAAGCTCATACCACATGTAATTTCCTGGGTGTTTTACTACTAGATCATTATGACTAATGTCCTATTTAATTACACTTGCCCTTCTGTATGTGCATTTTATTATATGCTTCTTTATGAATTCTCCTAGACAGGAGAGGCCTGTCTTAAAGTAATTAGACACTGTGGAAAGCAATAAATCCCCTTCCCTGACCTGAAATATTGGAGGTAATGAGGCACTGGAAGAGGATTGGCAAAGAAGAAAATTTAGCTAGGTCAGTAGCCTTTCTCTAACCTCCCACACCTCTGATGTCGATCTCATTCTGGGTCAAATGCCAACTTGTACATGCCTGAACATTATTTGGACATGACCATTTTCAGAAATAAGCTGCCAGACACATTACAGTGACTCTTGTTTGGATATGAGAGTGGATCATTCATGCCTGACAAAATTGAAGTTCATGTTCTGTTCTTAGAACTTAGAGCTAGGAGATACCTCTCAAAGGCCATCTATCTCCATCCCCTCTTTTTACAAAAGGGGAAACTGAAGTTCCAAGAGGTGAACCACTCGCCTCTTAACATGGTCAATATTTTTTTTCAAACCTAAGTCAGTGTTTTCCTAATGTTACCCTCACATCTCCAAAAGAATGTTTTCAGGACATGGTACATCTCAAATCCCAGTCTCATAGGCTTAGACAAATATCAGTGTTACTGGCTGTGTGATTTATTATTAGATTAACAAACTATATATGAGCATATTTAAATATTTCAGTAGTTTTATCAAGTGTGAGAAATATCACAGGCAGAATCACTCGAACCATCAGATAAGGCTGCCACCTTCTCTTTGATACTAGAAGCAGAGCCTAACAACAGTTCTTTTCTCATCCACAAAATAAGTTTAAATGCAGTTTTGTGAGAGTCAGCTCCTGTCAGAATGATAGTTAAATTGTAACTCCTGAACTTAATTTGCTTTTAAAGATACAATTATAGTGTCCATAGTCTTTGCAGAAGAGACTGTTTAAACTAGGTTTACATTTATTTCAAAGTATTCTTCGGGAAGCTTTTATTAAGTACCAACTATGTTCCAGGCACTATGCTAAACTCTTTGCAAGTATCTCATATTAGCCTCATAACAAGGAGTATTTGTTATTATCCATTATGTTTTGTATGTGTATGTGTGTATATATACATACATGTACATGTATCCTTTGTATATGTAATATGCATTATATATGTATATATAAAATTATGTATGTATATATAAAACATGTAATGTATGTATATGTGTAATATGTATTCTGTGTGCGTGTATGTAAATACACACATGTGTGTGTGTGTAGATACACACATACATCTGTGTATATATCTTATACATACACATATATATGTATATATAGAGAGAGATATAGGTATATGTATATATAGAGATGTAAAA